TGCAGATCCCCAACTGCCCAATTGCAACCTCCAACAGTCGAGCTGTGACTGCCACTCACTCGGATTCACAGTCGCAGTCACAGTCGCAGTCGCCAGTCGCACATTCAGACTCGTAGTCAGTGAGACCGCCGTCTGCGTGTTGCACAATAATTTATTGCCGCACAATTGCAGCTGCCACACATTCCAATGCACTTCATACGCCACCCACCATCCTGGTCCTAACCATTAGAGAGTCCTGTAAGAGCACAGCAGCCATATAAACAGTACTCGACATAAACTTTTGGTCAAAGGCGTGAGAAATGGGGGTAGCTGGAGTTCATACTTACTGCTCCCGCTGCGCTTGTAAAAATCGCATATAACGGGATGATTTTTGGCAGCATGTAATGCAACAACTCAAGCGCTTTTTAAAGTTGATTTTATGGCAGATTTAGTACTTCCGTTTGCAATATAGATATAAACGGTGCTAGAAATCCATTGTTTGACTTTGACTAGAAAGCACTTCGAATGCCAGTTTATAGACTGATTACATAATTTCATTACACTTATTTAGAACACATTGTAATCCAAGAATCACAAACAAACTTTCGACTTGGTGTTTCAAAGTTTTTATATAACTTTGTAAAAACTGAAACCGTAGTATTGTAAACTTCATGGACTGTGTATCTTATTAGGGTTTCTGTAAAATAGTATTCACTATAATTTAACTTCATAGGCAGTAAGTGCACATTGGATGCATTTAGTTCAGTTAAATGAATATTTCTCGGCTTTTACCTATCGATAAAAACGCAAACAAATCATTTAAAAATTCTAGAACTCGGGTAAGTGCTACTCAGTAAAAAAAATAAGGACTAATAACAAGAATTGAGTGCAATTGATGGGAGGAAAATGTTTTTCGTTCTGTTTTTGCTGTTTTGTTGTTTTTGCGAAATGTGTCAGTTTCAGCAGATGTCAAGCACAATCAACGGCATTAATAAGTCATTGCATACTTGATGGCGTCGAGGCACTGGCCCAATCGAACTGGGCAATCAATAAACTTGCCCTGCAGGCCAATTGCGTGCAGTTAATTAGTGTCTGTGACAATTGGCTCAAAAGGTGTTGCTCACAAATAAAACATTAACGATTTATTAAGTTGGGGGTCAAAACTGTTAACATTTGAGCTGCCCAAAGAAAACTGGCAAAATTATGATTGGGACACTATTCTGTTCTGTGCTGCGTGCTGCCTGTGTGCGTGCCACACTCCAATCAATACTAATTATAGTAATCAATTTTAATTAGAGCCTGATAGCTTCATGCTCAGTCCAGAAACAGTTTCTGGGCACCCACCCAGTTCGACCCACGTCCATTCAATTCATGAGGGTCTCTGAATTGCGGGGCTGCAGTTGACATTGTCAAAGCGTGGGCCAAGTGCAGTCCAACAACAAAGACATCATAATTCCAAACAGAACCGACTTCACATTAGCAAAGAGACCTGTCCCATACACACCCACGTACACCCACACGCACACACACACGCATACATCAATACACACACACAAATACGCAGAGAGAGCCTTTAGATTGAGGCCATACAAAGCAGATTTTTGCTTATATCAAAACTCAAACAATGGCCAAGTGGCTTTACCCAAAATTGAGCCTGACAGCGGCATGACGGCACTCATCCACCGTGTTCCCTTTGCCTCTCCACTGGTGTCAACTGGCCTATCCCTTGCAATATGCAAGCCTGATAGACAGGCTCGGGCATATAGCACATCCAAATTCCATTATTTGGATTAGACCAATTGTTGCCGGGGCTTTATTGTTGCTGGTGCTGCCTGCCCACCTGCATCACGCTGAGCAGATTATTTCTTTCATTCAAAATTTGTCCATAATAAATACCATAAATGTGCTTGTCAATTTCGTGCAAAAAGCTCATGCTGATCCGAAAATTGAAAATAATCGAAATTGGAATAGAGTTAATTACGTTTTAGATTGTATTTAGATATTTGATTGAAATTTAGTCTGAAAGGGTTTTAAATTCAATTTTCTATATAATACTAATCAACTTAATGCAATACAAACTTCAAAACGGCAAAAGAGAAGTTGTAAGAGAATTTGAATTACAACACATAATATACACTTGTTAATTTCTCTTCATCCATTTTAAAGAGGTACAAATATGATAGTTAAAATTACAAATTCTGTACGAGTGTTATTAATATTAATTTTAACAAAAGAAAAATAACGAAAACTTACTTTTTGATTTCACAAACACATTTAGGTAATTGGTACCCCAATATGGCTAATACAACTTCATACAGTTTCCAATTTACATTAAGCTGTTAGCTACAAAATTTTTGGCTTCGAGCAAAGTAATTTCGTAAGGTACACAAGAAGTACATGTAAAATCAACAACATGACTAGAACAGGACCAGAAGCAGCTGCTGCAACTATTAACAGCAAATGACTAGCCTAATTTATGCGCCTGTCTGCAGAGCAAAATACACACACACACACACACACACACACACATATACACACACAAATACACATACATTCATAGAAAATGTGAGTGTGAGTTCGATTACTCGTACTTGTAGTCGTATTCCATATGGGTAACCACATTCTATTCACAGACTAAACACGCCGCAATGCCGTAACTTCCGCTCCAGAATTGATGAAATGACAGCAAAAACGAAGAAGTGGGACATAGTTGGGGAGGGGGAAATGAGAGCTTGTAGAATCAAATAGGCAAAAACTGACTATGGCCAGAATTGTGCCTATGAAATTGCTTTACACAATCGAAACGCACGAAATGACAATATAAATCGAGGGGCGGAACTAATTTGGCAAAAGACTCGAAACAGGCCGGGCTCGAACCGCAAAACGACATAACAACAATGCGAATAATGCTGAGGATGAGAGACGAAAGCAGCAGACGCCCTGACTCCAGCTGAGGGTTGATGAGCACCCTGAGAGGAAGAGGGGAACAGAAAGCTGGCAAATACAGTTGCTGGTAAGCATGGAATGAACGTATTACCGGCTACTGAATTGGCCAAAATTAACGCAACGTTAGAAAAGTTTTTGCGGAAATTGCGTAACTACACATTAATGAAGAAAAATTGCGTACGATGCGGACGATGAGGGGAATGCAGCCCAAGAATCCCCTTTGCAAATGCCTTCTCGGGCAAAAACTAACCAAAAACTTTTGGCCCGGCAAATTGCATTGGAAATTGGGCGACACTTTAGCCATAAAACGGACTCGTGATTTATGCTCAATTGAGGTACGCCCAGGTAAACAGCTCCATAATGAACTGAATGAGTCGTTTGGGGGTTGGGGCAGCATGCTGATTATCCACAGTAGTTTTATAGGTTTTATAGGTACGACTGAATGGGAGGGTTAGCTAACAGCTTGCTCTGATTACACACCATCATTGTCTCTGATCATTTATTTTGCCTCCCCATTCTTAAAGTTGTTCTATGCCTTTTGCGAATTTACGTTTCGCATTCGTGAATTTTTATGACCATCATTAAAAGTGTTCAACCAGTTATGGCGACATCTTCTTCTTCAGCTCGTTTAAGTATTTATGAGCAGCCTGCCTGGCCAACTACTTACTTAGAATTATAATTATCATTTGTCATCCGGCTGCCCGTCTCGGACTCTAATTAATTGTAAAGTTTGTGTTTGTAAGCCCACCCGTAACGGCCCATTAATATTGTCACAGATGTCGCAGCTAGCAAACTCAAATTTACCAATGATTAATACATCAAAGTTTTCTAATTGAAATGCCTCGCAAAGAATGTTAAAAGATTTCCGCGAATTGCAATTTTATGATAAAGATTTTAATGTGTTGTGGAATTTCTGAATGCCTTTTTAAGTACGAACTACTTATATATTATATTTGAATATACTTTAAATATATCTCACATTTGAGATCATACTTTTAAATATCTCAATATCAATCAGTTCTGAAAAAAAGTAAATGTCGGAAAAAGAATTATATTATATCTCAAAATGGCAATAATAATAAATATAATAAGTTTTCTGTGTTAGGAACAATTAATTAACTGTTGAATGCATTAGTAATTTCAACAACAAGTTTGGAATACAAGTTTTCATCTGATCTGATCCAAAGCCATGCTCGAATAGCAACTCAATCTTAGTTTCGCTTTGACTATATTTGCGTGACGACATTTATATATATATATATATATTTGTGTACTTCCATTATAGCATAATCTTCAATCATAATAGCAATTCAATGTAGTCTTCTGTATGCTGGAGCTGTGATTGCCAACTGAATAGAGATTAGGCTCATCAGCCAGAGTGGCATCAATGTCGGAGCCTAGGAATTAACTCCAACTGCCAGATCTCAATGCCATATTGTGGAATGGGCTGGCATGTCGAGCAGTTTCAATTTATGAAATTAGTTTTAATAATATTAATGCCATTACATGAAAGAGCAGTTACAATGGGTCTAGCTGTAGGTAAGCCGGCTTTACGCTTAGCTTTTTGGCCATAGAAGTTCAGCGCCTGCAAGGAATTTGCACAAAAGATGCCAAGGCAACACAGCAGATAGATGCCAGCCACTTTCCTCCAGCTTCAGCTCACAACTTTCACTTGAAGCTTATATTCATTGTTTGCACTGTGTTGCCACTGCCAACGAATCAGTCGCCCACTTCCCGACCCCCGCCGGATGCGGGCTCTGGACTTCCCCGCAAGTTTTAAAACTTTGCTTTTGTTTAAATTTTGTGCGAGGGTGGCCGGAAATTTGCTTATCGGCACATTTCAGTGACTGCTGCGATGAATGCTGCGCCGCGACGCTTCTGCGGCCAGCCCAAAGTCAATAGAGAGATTAACGTCAGACAGAGAAGTCGGCAACGAGCTCTGTGAACTGTGTGAGCTGTGCTAATTGAGCGACGGGTCATGGCAACCAGCAGCTTATATCAATAGCAAACACTTTTTATTCAGCATCCACCAAAACTCCCCACTAGAATCGAAGTAAAAGCTCTCGAGAGAGGTGTGAACGACAAGTAGATATCATATTAAAGTTTAAAAACAAGATTTTCACATAAACTTGATGTGAAAAGTGATACTCGAATTGGATTACCAATTGGAGACAGCCAAAATTGAATTGATTTTCCAAAGCAATGCATTTTTAGCATGATTTGGTCTCTATATTAATATAATACAAACTTGCAAATTAAAAAGTACAAAGAGGCAAAGTGTTTAAAAACCCAAACCCAATCCCAAACCACCTCCACGTCTGTTGTTGTCATTCCTGTTGTTGGCATTCCTGTTGTTGGCATTCCTGTTGCCGCCTCCGAGTCCCAGCGTTTGTCCAACGCCTCCCAGGCCCAGTGCATTGCCCACGTTGCCCACCGTCTGTCCGATTCCGCCGCCCAGCTGTCCCAGCACATTGCCCAGCGCTGCACAGCTGGTGGAGGTAAGCGGAGACAACGAAGCGCCCAGCACTGAAAGCTCACAGAAGCGAAAATCGCTGGCTGCTTCCAGTTTGGTATTCACCTTGATGAATGGTGTGCCGCCGCCGGTCACGCTTTGGAACAGCTTGGAGGCTGCCGAACTGCCCTTATCCTGATCCCGATTCCCGGCGAACTGCAGCAGCATATCGATAAGATTTTTGCGCACCTGCAAATCATCTGGACTGCTCAAACGTGTGTCCAATAACGGATTGCCAAATATATCATTGGCATCGAACATATAGCCCAGCTCATCGCCGTGAGCAACTGTCTCCGGCTTATCGTTGGAGGACTCGGCCACAATGGGCAGACCACGTAGAAAATTGATGCCCTTTGACGTGGTGCCATTGTACTCGAAGCTGTACACAAAAGCGGGTGCCAATTTGGACCACACCTGTGTGGTGAGCACGGCGGGCAGATTGAACAGCACATCTGTGGTGGACTCCACCACTTTTTCCAGCACTTGATCCAGACTCAGCGCTTGTGGCACTTTCAACACATCCTGCAGCGTAGGCGTCAGAACGCCCGTCAGTCCTGGCAGCGCAGCCTTGGCGATATTCCCCGTCTGCTGATCAATGCGCAGAAAACCGGTCAACTGCTTTAGTGCATCCGGCAGCGAACCCAAAAACTTCTCGGCCGAGCCAAAGACATTGTTCAGAGTATCCACCGTCACCGAATTGGCTGTCTCGTGTTTCGTTACGCCAGTCAGCAGAGGAATGCCCTTGAATTTGCCACTACGCAGCTGCTGCTCCGGCTCACCAATCATCAAACTGGGCAACGAACGGTTATCGTCTGCCTCCTCAGGATGTGGCTGGAAGCCAACGTTACCAGTGAGGCCCTTGACTAAGGCTCGACCTGCCAAACGTTCCGTTTGCACTTTGTCGTCATTCTTAATTATATCCATAGCCGATTTCTAAAGCGAGCGATAATAAATATATGGATTAGAGCAGAAGATTTGAATGGGTGATGGTTGAACAAAAATTCTTTTAAATTGATTCCAATGACTTGTGAATAGACAAATTCATAATAAAATGTAAATTAGCCTTCGATTACTCACCTCTCGCATGCAGTTGATAATTTCCAGCTCATTACCGGTGGGACAACCATTAATTTTAGCCACCTCTTGGACACTCTGCACCGGCTCCTTATCTATGGCATATTGGGATAAAGCCGTACCCGACATGGCCACCACACCATGCATCTCTCCCGCATTTCTCGCTGTCCGAGACATGGACAAATACATTGCACTAGCTGCACCTGAACCGTGTCCAATTGCCTGCACCCGCTTGGGATCGCCACCGAAGTGTGAGATGTAGTCCGTAACCCAACGAAGTGCTGCTGCTAAATCGAACATGGCCAGATTGCCGTTGAACTCCTTAGTGCCATCGCCCAGTATGCCCAGCGAGCCGAGACGATATTGGGGAGCAACGACAATGGCGCCCTGCTGTGCCATGGGCGTGGCATCATATTGTGCAGCGGAACCGTAACGAAAGCCACCCGGATGTATCCATACAAAAACCGGCAATCCTGTCGTCTCGTCCGGCATCTGTGGCGTATAAACGTTCACCAGCAGGCAATTCTCATCGCCAATAATCCGATGCGGCTGCTGCGGATGCGGCTGTATACAAGGTGCACCGTGACGCGTTGCATTCACATCGCCACCGAGGCGCTTATAGACGGGCCGCGAGTAACGTAATTGACCCACCGGTGGCTCAGCATAGTGCATGCCCAGGAAGCTATAGACACCAGTTTGAGCGTTCCGGAAACCCTCCACTCGCACATCTCGGTCAAAGACTCGTGCGAATACAACGGGATCATCAACGGGCGGCGCCTTTGCCGTCTTGCCACCCACAATGCGTTTCACACGACGATGCGGCTCCGTCTCCGATTGTGACTGCTCCAAGGTCAATGCTGTAACAGCCAAGTGCAATCCCAACAATAACAAAAAGTTTCGCCTCGCCACAGCTCGCATTGTAATTCACTCAATTATCAACTTGGAACTGAGCAAACGCTACAGTTGTCAAAGCTCTCAAAGTCCCAAGCGACTCTTACCGAGGCCGGCAACGTGCTCGGCTTGTCGATAAAATGCTAAAAAAGAAACAATAACAACTACAATTGAGTGTTGATAAAAGTATACAATTTGGTTTGTTTTTGCTGCTCACGATCAACGAGTAGCCGGTTGGGTCTATATTTACACTCACGCATGCATTTATTTGTTGTTAGCTGAATCATTAAACAGAGAGTTTTCTTTAGCAATCTAGTCATGTTCCACATAACTAGAATCATATCACATAACAAGCGGATTGTGTGGTAGCGAATTTTAAATGTGATATTGCTTACTTAAATAATTTTTTATAAAATATTCGCAAAAATTAAGTAGAGCTAGCTAGAAAGTAATTTTTAAATAAATAGTTACCTGATCGAAAATACAAATATTTCATTATAAATACCAAGTATAGAAAATAATAAAATAAAAAGGTTTTTATTTGACATCATTTAACTTACAAAATACATATAATATATAAACATATATATGTGTTTGGCCTTTAGCCAGATCGTTCGCACTAATCATGTTTTGAATCTAAGACCGGTTACTTCAGTTGGTTCAATGACTTCAAAAATTCATCATCACTTAATCATTTAATAAGCCTAATAAGCCCCCCAAATTTATATTACAAAAACAACTAAAAACTCATATTTTATGGAAAATAAGACTTTAGTTTGTTTATTACTCAGCCGCAGTATTAAAATGAATTGAAAACTTAAGCAAGTTTATTATTAAGTATGTGTATTGAAATTGAAGTCTTAGACAAGTTTATTAAGTATCATTGTTAGCAAATACTTGGCATTAATTAACACATACATCACAATATATTCAGAAGCAATCATATAACTTGTTAGCTTTATAAATAAATTACGATTATTAAGTTCTAACAGACACTTTTCTCAGCTCATCTTTCGAGTCAGTTGTTTCAATGTGCTTTGTGAAATGCTAATCACTTAAATATTTTATTGTTTTAAACATCAGCTGTGCGCCATGAAGCGTCCGTCAACTGCAATTGGAGCTTGCCAGAAACTGGTCAGTTGGGGTTTTTCCATACAGTATATTTCTCATTTAATTGTTAATAGTTAAATTCGCTGAATAAAATTGCATGATAGAAATATTAATGCGATTTGAAAGCCTCAACACGAACTCAGAACTGTCAGACAATTGTATTTAGCAGCTTTGGCTGCATTATCTGGTCAAATGAATTATATGCTCAACATATTTACGACTGAACACGCCACACACACATCTTTGTTAGTGGGGCAAGCGGAAATGGCAGCTGGTAAATGTGTATCATGAAACGAATGCCAGAGTTGTGATTTTAAGTTTCTTGACCCGTCGCCCCCGTTTCTCTATTTGCGGAAGATGAAAGAGCAGCCCGGGATTAGGCCAGTCAGACGGCACGCGTTGACCCGGCCCGACTCTGCCTCATGAATCTCAATGTTGTTGTTTAGACTCCGTCTGACTGCCACTGTGACCACGTACGTCGACTGATTTGTCTCCGCAAGTGGCGACTCTGAATTACGACTCCAACTCCGTTTCTATCTCTCATGTGCGGCAGACACACAATGGCAAAATGACATTTAAAGTTACGACAATATAATTAAGTATACTTCTGGGACTTGCCGCTGGTAGCAAGAAAAGTGGCAGACAAGGAATAATTATATATATATATATATACATATATAAATATATATGCTCGCATGTACGCGGCAGCAACAAGAGACATGCAACACTTTTGTGAAACACTCAAAGTATGCCACGTTGTAGCAGTTCCAGCTTGCCACTCGGCCAGTCACGCCTACACATTTAACAAGCTTTAGCCTTGACTCTATACTCTGTACGCAGAAAAAGTGTAAAAGGAGAAGCATTCAATTGTACTTTAATGATATTAGCATACTTTGATATATATATTCATATATTTAGCAAAGCCAAGTCAAGCTCAATAACATGACAGCTTAAATAGTAGCTAGAGTAATTAGCACTTAATCACAGGGTATTTTACATTAAATCAATTTCAACATTTAGTCTCTATTTTTGCAGCACATTATTCAAGTCTTTAAAAAGTTATTAATCTTCAGCTGTCGAGTAAATATTTTGCTTTTAATAGAGATTTAAATAATGCCACTGACAATTTGCATAAAACCGGACAGACAGCAGGCATACATTTTCCTGTTATCCTTGGACCCGGCCAGCTCACTAAATATGCATGTGACACCCCATGTATGAAAAATATACAGTATATATATATATATATATATCATGCAGGTGGTGAAAGCTGCTGCTAAATGTAATAATTACATGCAAGATTGAATTTTAATTTGATTTCAAGCGAGACATCAAAAAGAGAAGTGACCAATTTAGTACCAGAAGAAGAGTGAGCAACTCGTGTTAAACACATATATATTTACTTACGATTTTATGAGAAATATATGCTTTCAAATCGAAGCTAATATTAATTGAGATTATTTAGAGAATATATCTCTTAGTGTGTATTGTATCACGTTTCATGCTGAAAATGAGATTTCCTTGCCACACGCACTTAATATCCCTGGTGCGCTCTTATTAATTGCTTTGCCTGTTCCACTCCGTCTTTCAGCGAAACTTTTGCCTAATTTTTCTTCTTTTTCTATGCCTGGATGCCACACGCAACACGCTTTGGATTTTTTTTTCAGCTGCTGATGCTGCTCCTCTGCTCCTGTTCGTGTTCTTCTTTCTGGTTCTTCCTCGGCTGCTGATTGCGTGTGCTGAGCCCATGACTGTATCCTTGTTTCCAGCTGCTGCTGATGCGTTTCTAATGTGCAAAATATTAATTATAAAATAATAATTGAATTGTGTTTGTGCCCGTCTGCCAGTCCTGCTGAAAGGTGAGCACCATCCACAAAAATCCTGACGGTTATTGTTTAGATATCCTTTACACGCCAAGAGTTCATTAGCAGTCCTACGGAAAAGAAAAAAAAAAACACACGAATTGCGCACATCTGCTGAAATTCATAAATTGGAATCAGCTGCCACATAGATTGCTATTTAATAGGATCAGCAAATGGGTCTGATAACAGATTATAAATAGTTGATAGAATCTGCAGGTGCACACAAACTAGTTGATAAATGACTAGCAAATATTGTTAATTAAGGTGGATGAATTAACGAATTGCATTAACACAATGAATACAAGTTTTACGTTTAATAAATATAAATGTCTTACAATGGTAATCAAACTTTCCTCACATACAAAAAGATTAAATTCCCTGAAGACCCTAATCGATTTGTGCCCTGCTTTTAGTCGGCTTTAAAAACTATGAATGGAGCTTAACCGCATATGCGATAAATCTAATATTTAATGCGTATCTATTCTAATCTGTAGTCATTCATTGCTTTTAACGCACATTCAATTTTAATGTGTTTTCTCATTTCAGGCAGAAAATTTGGTCAGCAACCGCAATCATTTTTTGTGGCTTTCGTTCTGGCCAACATTTAATCTAGTTGGGATGAATACTGAGAGAGAAAACTAGACGTATTGGGCATAAACGAGAAGAAAACTGTGGTTACAATGTCTGTCAATGGCAAGGACAAGGCAGCAGAACCAACTTTTGAGTTGTATGACCACAAGAATAATGATCAAGCAGTAAAACTCAGCTTTCACATACCCAGTAAACTGATTAAAATACCAAAATATAAATTTAGGTTGACAATAGTTTGTTTGAATAGTTTTTGTGATTTTTATCCGACATGTTTGTCATGATTAATGTACTTATCTATTAATTTATTCGGATACTGACTCTGAAACTGATGTCTTTTTTGTGTTATTAGGATTACAGGGAACAAAAGAAGACATGTAAATTGAAATGAACGGCAAAGTTTTCAACAACGAAAACAGTAAGACAATAACAACAATAGCAACAACATAACTTAGCTGCAACAATGGGCCACATAAATGACAAAAGCAATAACATAATCCTTTCGCAACCCACCCGAAAACTTTTGCGGTTCAATTTGAAAAGGCAGCATTCACACACAAGCAGGCATATAAAATTTTAATTAAACTAATGAAATTGTACAGCAACCAACAACCAACAAAAAAATTAAAATAAAAGGATACGGAAATGTGCTAGCTATCACTTTGGTTCCTTTGGTATTTGTTTCTTTTTTGGATTCCATTGAACATTAAAAATTAACTGGCGGAATAATCGAAACTGTTAAAACGTTAATTTAACACTTAAACAAGCTAAACCACACAACAGCCTCCACAGTGTCCTATTCAACTGTAAATGTAACTGGCTCTTTTTGTGTGTGTGTGTGTGTGAGAGAGTATCTGTGTGCGTACATTCCAATTGGCAGCTTCTGTGTGTCACATTTAATGCAAGAGCGGAATTCCATTAAACGACAACCACAGGCAGCAAGCCACCAATTCCAACCGAAACGAACCAACCTGCCACGCAGAGGAAACGCATTTGTGGTGCCAAATAAACACACACACACACACACGTACACATGGAGACAGCCCAAACACTCCACAGCGGACTGCATTGATCCACCCGAAAGCCCAAACTGCTGAACTTGCCACAACCCTCGCGCTTTGCTCTCGCAGCATATTGCAGATGTTTAAACATAAAACCGGCGAGGATGGGGGAAGGTGATTGGGGGATTCGAAAGAATCACATCGACTTGCCTGACACGCCCCCCACACCCACATACACACATTCACACACACACACACACACACACAGCACACATATGTAATGTATATTACAGTGTGCGCACATAAATTGCAATCGGAATATCAAATTGGCAGCAGGACGAAACAGGACGAAGCAGGACCGCAGCCCTCTCGTTTGTCCTTGCCGTTTGTCGTTCGTGATTTTATCAATTCAATAAAAACCAAATAAAATCAGTACAAATGCAAATACCATTAATGTATTGGGTTTAACTTTGTTTTTGTTTCCCTCTCAA